TCGTTCTAAGAAAATAAGATGTAAAAACATGATAAACATCACATGCAATCAAATAGTGTCATGATATGGCCAATATCATTTTGCTCCTTTTGATCTCCATCTTCGGTGCGCCATGATCATCATCTTCACCGGCATGACACCATGATCACCATCATCATGATCTCCATCATCGTGTCTCCATAAGGTTGTCTCACCAGCTATTACTTCTACTACTATGGCTAACGGTTTAGCAATGAAGTAAACTAATTACATGGCGTTATTCAGTGACACGCATGTCATACAATAAATAAAGACAACTCCTATGGCTCCTGCCAGTTGTCATACTCATCGACATGCAAGTCGTGATTCCTATTACAAGAATATGATCAATCTCATACATCACATATATTTCATCCATCACATCCTTCTTGGCCATATCACATCACACGGCATATGCTGCAAGAACAAGTTAGACGTCCTCTAATTGTTGTTGCAAGTTTTTACGTGGCTGCTATAGGTTTCTAGCAAGAACGTTTCTTACGTACGCCAAAACCACAACGTGATATGCCAATTGCTATTTACCCTTCATAAGGACCCTTTTCATCGAATCCGATCCGACTAAAGTGGGAGAGATTGGCACCCGCTAGCCACCTTATGCAACAAGTGCATGTCAGTCGGTGGAACCTGTCTCACGTAAGTGTACGTGTAAGGTCGGTCCGGGCCGCTTCATCCCACAATACTGTCGAAACAAGATAGGACTAGTAACGGTAAGCATATTGAACAAAATCAACGCCCACAACAACTTGTGTTCTACTCGTGCATAGAATCTACGCAATAGACCTAGCTTTGATACCACTGTTGTGGAACGTAGCAGAAATTCAAAATTTTCTACGCATCACCAAGATCAATCTATGGAGATACTAGCAACGAGAGAGAGAGAGAGGGAGTGCATCTTCATACCCTTGAAGATCATGATGCGGAAGCGTTACAAGAACGCGGATGAAGGAGTCGTACTCGCAACAATTCAGATCGCGGTTGATTCCGATCTAAGCGCCGAACAACGGCGCCTCCGTGTTCAACACATTTACAGCCCGGGGACGTCTCCTCCTTCTTGATCCAGCAAGGGGAGAGGAGAAGTTGAGGGAAAACTCCAGCAGCACAATGACGTGGTGGCGATGGAGCTCGTGGTTCTCCGGTAGGGCTTCGCCAAGCACTACGGAGGAGGAGGAGGTGTTGGAGGAGGGAGGGGCTGCGCTGGGGGAAGGGTGTGGCTGCCCTCCCACCCCCTCCACTATATATAGGGGCAAAGGGAGAGGGGGAGGCGCCCTAGGGTTTCCTCTAGGGGGCGGCGGCCAAGCAGATTGGATCTCCCTAGGGAAAATCCTAGGGAGACTTGCCCCCCAAGCCAAGCAGGTGGAGGATTGCCTCCCAAGCCAGGTGGAGCCGCCCCACCTCCCCAAATAATGTGGGAAAGGGTGTGGGGGGCGCACCACCCCTTAGTGGGCTGGTTTGCCCCTTCCCCTTTGGCCCATGAGGCCCTCCAACACTTGTCGGGGCTCCCGAAACACCTTTCGGTCATGCTGGCCATAGCCTGGTACCCCCGGAACACTTTCGGACTCCAATACCCTTCGTCCAATATATCGATCTTCACCACCGGACCATTCCAGAACTCCTTGTGATGTCCGGGATCTCATCCGGGACTCCGAACAACCGTAACCACATGCTATTTCCCATAACAACTCTAGCGTCACCGAACCTTAAGTGTGTAGACCCTACGGGTTCGGGAACCATGCAGACATGACCGAGACATCTCTCCGGCCAATAACCAACAGCGGGATCTGGATACCCATGTTGGCTCCCACATGTTCCACGATGATCTCATTGGATGAACCACGATGTCGATGATTCAATCAATCCCGTATACAATTCCCTTTGTCCATTGGTATGTTACTTGCCCGAGATTCGATCGGCGGTATCCCTATACCTTGTTCAATCTCATTACCGACAAGTCTCTTTACTCGTTCCATAATGCATGATCCCGTGACTAACTACTTAGTCACATTGAGCTCATTATGATGATGCATTACCGAGTGGGCCCAGAGATACCTCTCCGTCATAGGGAGTGACAAATCCCAGTCTCGATTCGTGCCAACCCAACAGACACTTTCGGAGATACCTGTAGTGCACATTTATAGCCACCCAGTTATGTTGTGGCGTTTGGTACACCCAAAGCATTCCTACGGTATCCGGGAGTTGCATAATCTCATGGTCTAAGGAAATGATACTTGACATTAGAAAAGCTTTAGCAAACGAACTACACGATCTTGTGCTATGCTTAGGATTGGGTCTTGTCCATCACATCATTCTCCTAATGATGTGATCCCGTTATCAATGACATACAATGTCCATGGTCAGGAAACCATAACCATCTATTGATCAACGAGCTAGTCAACTAGAGGCTCACTAGGGACATGTTGTGGTCTATGTATTCACACATGTATTATGGTTTCCAGTTAATACAATTATAGCATGAACAATAGACAATTATCATGAACAAGGAAATATAATAATAACCATTTTATTAGTGCCTCTAGGGCATATTTCCAACACCTACGGGTTCGAGAATCACATGTAGACATGACTGAGACTCCTCTTCGGTCAATAACCAATAGCGGGAACTGGAGGCCCATATTGGTTCCTACATATGCCACGAAGATCTTTATCGGTTGAACCATGATGTCAAGGATTCTGCCAATCCCATATGCAATTCCCTTTGTCCGGCGATATGTTACTTGCCCGAGATTCGATCGTCGGTATCTCCATACCTAGTCTAATCTCATTACCGCAAGTCTCTTTACTCATTCCGTAATACAAAATCCCCGTGACTAAACTCATTAGTCACTTGCTTGCAAGCTTGTTGTGATATTGTATTGCCAAGAGGGCCTAGAGATATCTCTCCGTCACACGGAGCGACAAATCACAGTCTCGATCCATGCAACCCAACAAATACCTTCGGAGATACCTGTAGAGCACCTTATGATCACCCAGTTACGAAGTGATGTTTGATAGCACACAAAGTATTCCTATGGTATCCGGGAGTGGTATGATCTCATGGTCTAAGGAACTAATACTTGACATGAAGAAAGTTGTAGCAAATAACTGAATGATCTGATGCTAAGCTTACGGTTGGGTCAGTTCATCACATCATTCTCTTGTTGATGTGATCCCATTATCAAATGACAACTCATGTCTATGGTCAGGAAGCCATAACCATCTTTGATCAACGAGCTAGTCTAGTAGAGGCTTACTAGCGACACGGTGTAGTTTATGTTTTCACACATGTATTTAAGTTTCCGGTCAATACAATTCTAGAATGAATAATAAACATTTATCATGAACAGGAAATATGATAATAACCATTTTATTATTGCTTCTAGGGCATATTTCCAACAGTAAAACCATACATCTTGCTTTGATTATATTGATGTGATGGAGTATCTAGTAAAAGATGACCTACCTCGAGGTCGTATGGTTGTGTTCTAAACCCTAAGGCTGGTAATTGTGCCTCTAAAGACTAAACTCCACGGCTTATATACACACACACACCGGGAGTACCTAGGTTACACACATGGCCGGTTGCTAATCATGCCTACTAGTGAGCTATCCTTGAAGTGCACGCCAAGTCTTCCGAGGTTTCCATCTTGATCATGTCGAGGTTCATAGCTTCTGGAGTCCTTCCTTGTGGAGATTGGTGGGCCGAAAACTCGACCCATGAACTGCGGGTCGTATAGGCTAGTACCCCTTAGTCTAGGACACCGTCACCAGGCCACCCTTAGTTCTTTGAAGATTAATACACCAGTGGGTGAACGTCATCCCCATTCTCCTTAAACAGGTTCCCCAAGTGACCACAAATAGCACACCAGTCCGACAATCGTTCATACTTGACTTTGTAAATCTGACGCATAAGATCCCGAACCATGGAGACAACATTTTTAGCGGTTTCTGAACTTTTTCATCCAAACGTGATAGAGTTACCAGTAAAATCATAAGACTGTGATTCAGTGTACATTACTTCTCCAACCTTGGTCGCAAGGGGTGCGACTAGGTGAGCGTATCCATTCGGAACATCATGTATCTAAATCCATAAATCCAACCTATCCAAACTAATCACCGAGGGCTTCATCACACCATCATATGGAGCAATGATGACCGTGTTTCCTTGGAAGTTCCAAGGTCCATCTTGCATCACCTTCTCCTAGTTGCCGAGGCAAAAGAACTGAAGGATATGCAGTATCTTTGAAGGGCCTAAATTTCACATCTCGAGCCAGATTCCATGCTAACCTCATATTCTTGAAGAACCAAGCTTGGGATTAGGGTTTCTCCATGTGCGCCCTTATGATCACCATCCACCTAGTGGCAGTCGACGCCTCCTCCTTTTCATTAAAGACCACGTCGTCCAAATCTTCCTCACGAAGACCCAACTCCTTCATCAGGGACTCCACCTCGCTAACTGCCTCTGATCCGGATGCCGTTGAGGACGTCAAACCTGACAGTGGCTTTTCTCCATCTAGAAGTCCTAACCTGATGAAACTAGATCGGGTATTTGTTGTGGGTAACCCTAGCATGCGTGCAACCCTTGAAAACACCCCTGACTAGGACCGGGCGGCGATCGCAAGGATCAACCCGTATCAGCCCAAATTGAGGGGGGAGGAACGGCGGCAGGGAACAAGGAAACTCTACGGCGGCGTGGTCGGCGCGGAGAGAACTATAACCCTAACAGGAGGGAAACTTTTGAGGTTTGATGCAGAACAAATTAAAAATGCCTCCCTGTATGGGCTTACAAAGGCAGGCCCTGCAAACGGGCCGTGGTCTTTTCCGCATCCCCACCTTGTTCTCCACTGGCACGCGCATCTCCCCGCAGAATCTGCCGGACTCTGAAACCCCACGCAGACACAGCTCCGCTCCGCCCTCACGCACCTCACCCCGGCCACCTCCTCCCACCCACCGCCGCCGGCGGAGCCATGGAGGTCGGCGGCGAGGAGTTCGCGGTCGGCGTGGTGATCTCGGCGAAGACCACCCTCGGGGAGGAGTTCGAGGGCCAGATCGTCTCCTTCGACCGCCCGAGCAACCTCCTCGTCATCCATATCCTTCCCAAATCCCCCTTTGCTTCCGGCCTCCGTCTCCATGCCATTTACTTCTGCCTCCTGCTCTATTTCTGTGTGCTGCGTGGTTGCTTTGTTTCCATGACGGCGTAGATCACAGGAGGGCGTGGGCAGGGCGGAGAGGGGCGAGCGGCGGAACGTGAGGGTGCTCAAGGCCAACTACATCCAGGAGTTCTCCGTCGTCGGCAAGTACGACGACCCGCTGGACCCGGCTGGCTGTGTGCTCGACCTCGCCGCCATCCACGCCAGGGAGGAGGCCGCCCTCAGGTGTGTCATACTGCATCCCAAACCCTTTTGGTACTACTACTTTTTAGTCATTGCTAGTTAGGCATGTGATGCTTATTTTTATCTTGTTTGAATTTTAGATGCGGTCAAGATTCATTCAATGAGCTCGGAAAACATGAACACCACAACATTGTTTTGGATTCTATTTATTGTAAATGCGAATTCATGTTTGAGGACACAACAATAAAGCAAGAAGAAGTATATAAGAGCTTCACAATCCTCATTTGACCAATATTCTCTTTGTTCTTAAATTGAACCTGACTCTTCTAGTTGGTAAAGGTGATACTGAAATTGGGTCTGCACATGAAAGTGATAGCAAGTAAAGGAGATACTGATATAGCTGACTTGAGCTATAGCTTGATTAAGCAAGCTAGCTATTTAGAACTTGCCACACATTTGGTTATATACAAATAAGCATAGATCTTTTGAGGTTGGTCACTTTTATGAGAGAAGGCGGAGCACATCTCTACTATTAAAGGGGAGTTTGTACGTCGTTCGTCTCCCAGGGCCCCACCGATTGAAGGATCTTCCCACCATTCTCTTTTTTTTTACCGACTGCAACCCCACCCAGTTTGGTAAGTGTTGATTCAGTTACATCTTCCTTTCTTAGGATGCACTCATGTGTCTCCTCAGCAGATCCACTACCATAAAATAAATATATTAATCATCAAACAAATATTGTCTCCAGCAGTACCAGCCAATTCACTACCATACATGGCAAATCAATCTATCTATCTTCTACATCTACACTACCTAAAAAAGACATAACATTCCCTTTTCGCCCAACCTTCGTTCGCTTCCATTCCATGCTTAGCACACCAAGAAAACCAGAGGAAAGCCTACCCGCTACCCACACACGCACGTCCATCCTCCCCTCTATTCCACTGGGTTTATTTCTTCAAGGTTAATCAAATCTTTATTTTTTAGAGAAATAGAGAGGGGTTGGTGGAGGAGGGGGAATTATTTAACAGTAAATCGAATCAACAATACTGCCTAATGTACATGAGTATTCTAAGGTATATGTTAGACATAATGTTAAACCATTAGAATGTATGTACCCTGTTGCAACGCACAGGCAATTAGCTAGTAATGAGAGAGAAGCTGTTAAACATTTATTTGGTGCATAAAATTCTTGCCTAGGAGGGCTAGGCAATTCAGCTCTCCTCGCTCTAAACTGCTTCTAAAAGCCAGGATTCTTCGCTTGTTCCAGTCCAGTCACAAAACATGGCCAGGCTAGGCTAGAAAACTTATTATCCAAAGCCCTGTCCCATTGAAAGTTCACTATCCTGGTCTAAAAGCATGACTGCAAAAAGGCATAACAGTTTCCAAATAGAAGATACATAAACAGGGGAGACACCTCTAAAATTAATCACTCCATAACTAGATTGGGTACTATGGTCATTTCCAAATCAGTCTTCATCTGCAGAAAATAAGTGGAAGAAGCAATCTGCAAAACCTCAACGGGGCTGTTCATAACCCTTGTACACACACATCTCACTTGATTGGTTTTTAGACATACTTCAGAAATGACTGCATTTTTCTCATTCACTAACACGGCAGCACATACAAATGTCAAAATATAGCAACAAGGTTGGATTTCACGAATCGGTGGTCCTTTCAAAATTTATTTGTGTTTACAAACCGGTGACCAAAATAAGCAGCTTTACTATCCCAATAACACTTTTCAAGAAAGGCGAAGTATGACTAGTAGCATAGGCGGGCATTTGAGGTTCTGGTATTGCATTGACTATTACTTTCCAATTTTTGTTGCATTCAGACCTGCAACTCTTGATCCAAGAGGCTAATAAGCAGATATTGCGGTCTCTCAAATTTTGGTGGCCTACCCCCCCCTCCCTGGAGTTCTCACTAAATAGATCTCACCTAGGTAGGTCGTACTAGTGGTGGGCCTCATAATTGTCCTACAAACAGTGCACTATTTAGCTGTTAATAGCATAGCCCACCTAGGTTGATGATGCATCATATCGTTTTGATGGATCTGGAGATGATATTCCAGCAATATAGTAAGGACTGAGATTGAATGTGTAACCAAGGAAAATTGGAAAATTTAGAACAGTGCACTATGATTGTCCTACAAACAGTGCACTATTTAGCTGTTAATAGCATAGCCCACCTAGGCAACTTGATGATGAATCGTATCGTTTCGATGGATCTGAAGATGACATTCCAGCAATATAGTAAGGACTGAGATTGAATGTGCAACTAAGGAAATGGAAGAATTTAGAACTGATATTGATACTGTGGTTTTGGGTTAGAATAGGGGAATCAGTTTTGGTATTTTGTTGGAAATTCAGTTGTTTCCTTTCTGGCTCTCCAATCATCGAATGATCAAACCTGTATTGGCCTTGTTTGTAGCTAAGCAGAAGTTCCTTTTTCGCGATGCAAAAGTGGATTGATAAATCTGGCAGATGTATAACTGACATAGTATGTTATGTGTCATTTTAGAACTCGTGGCTGAACTGATCATGGTTAACAATTTGGATCTGGGTTCGGGTCAATTTTGTTCCAGAGTTTGTTCTTCTGATTAAGGATAGCAGCTTCAAGTACATGCATGCAATAGCCAATACTGCTGGGCTGCATATACGGTATGTTTAGATGGTGCGAATTTTTGCCATGCCAAATATTGGGCAGCCTATGACTATCTGGCACTGGCTTGATTTGTTTTTCAAAAATTTGGCTGCCAATGGAAACCCACCTATCTCTCACATATTCCTACCAAATGGTTGCCAATGAGGGTGCAAGAATCCTTGGCCAAAATTTGGCAAGCCAAGTCTTTTTGGTAGGGCGAGATTGGGTGCCAGCCAAACACACCCATAGAATGCACTAATACCTTTAAGGTTTACTACACTAGGCCATAAATAGTAGTTATAGAAGTCTTGATAATTTCTGAAAATAATTTTTGGCATGGAGATGATAACACACCTACTACAGCAGATCCAAATTCGATTCACAACTTTAGCCACTAGTTATTTGGGTTCTTTGGCTGTTAACTTGCTAGATGACATTTGACTTCAGACTCAGTGTTGAGTTACTAGCATTTGGATTGTCTCTGCGAGTTGATGAAAATCTACCATTTAGGGGTATATATATATTAGAGTATTTGGGCAATCTGGTGTTTATAGTTATATAATAGTAATAGCTCAACAGGTGAATTATTACATATGGCAACTGATTAACCACTTAGATGGAGAAGTATGCAGAAAATAAATAGCATCATAAACACTTCCATTTTAACACTATGCATTTGTTTCCCTGCATTGAACCCAAAACGAAAATGATAAGTGCGGTCTGTTTTGGTCAGAGTTAATCCCAATGTATTGTCATAATGCAAATTCTGACAACAATTGATTTCATGCACCTATAGGTATGACTTTTGAGGGGTCAGCGCTTCCTGGGAAATGCTATAAACCTTAGTGGTTGACTAATGTTGTGTATGATAACAGTCATGCCTCTTTATGTCACTGGTTTTGTGCTAAAGAGCTAGCAAATTGGTTATCTATGATTTTGCCTATTACTTTTGCCATTTAGGATTTATCCCTCGCGATTCTTGTTTTTGGTGTTTATTGGTTCTATCATTTATGGTGATGTGTTTTATCATGCTTAATGTTACTGTCTAGAAGCTGAAAATTAGCTTGCATGTTGTTGGCTTCTGCACTGCGACATTTTGGTTCTCACACTGCATGCTATGATGCACAGGCAAGCTGAGATTGAAGCTGAGAGAATTGGTGTTGGTGTCACCCCAGAAGCTCAAAGATTATTTGATGCATTGTCGAAGACGTAAGTTTGACCTTTCATTATGTCTCTCTTGGATATTCATGCTTTTGACCATTTTCCTCTGAATCGGCCTTTATTTTTGGACTCGTAGTTACCACATTTGAATTCGAGGAAAGAAACTAGGAACTGTTAGGTATATATGCTGCTCAAATCTTTATTAGTTTGTTTCACATTTTGTTAGTATTAGCCCCATTAGTGGTGCGGGATCCTGAGCCCCTCTCCTTTTGGATAATACTCTCTTTTTTTCACTCTCCACCGATATTACGTAACAAAGACAAGTAATTCGGGACGGAGGGAGTACATTCTCATGTCCACTTTCTTGTTTGTGAAGTTTGTATTTGCAAAAAAGGGAAGTAAACGTGCAAGCCTGTGTTTTTTGTATGATATCGAATCTTCTAGTTTTGGCCTGTTCAAAAGCTGGAAGAACATTATTTTGCAGAAAATTGCTGGCATGTGTGTCAACTTGTTTTTGAGGTTAATTTTATGCAACTTCCTGGTGTGCTAGCTCTTTACACAGAGCTAGGCTGGGTTTCGAGGGTTCTTTTGGTGGATATTGTCAAGCTGGTGTCTCAGTATGTTCTTTGATTCCCGTCTGTTTCTCTGTGTAAGACTTGTGTTGCTGATTTGGTTGAGGCTTTTCTGACGAAGCCGAGAAAGTTT